TCATGGAGGAAGCGAAAACGCGTCGGCCGATGACGAGGCGGAGAGCGAGGCCGCGTTGGCCATCGTGTTATTGGCCGTCGAGCGAGTCATTTGGCGGGCGCAGAAGGCATCGCAGGGCAGCGTGGTGGGATCGGCGGCAGTCAATTATATCGAACGGCGCGAGGCCGGCGGCGATTCGAACGAGAAGCCATTCAACGCAGGGCAAAAGGGCGCGACGATGGTCAAGTATAGCGCGGTGTGGGCGTCGGTGATGGCGTACATATGGCGCACGTGGCATTTAGAGCCAGTTGAGGAGGAGTCGGCCGAGGGGGAGGCGGAGGAGGAGGTGGAGGAGGAACGGGGCGACGGCGACCGGGGAGCGAACGGCCAGGTAGAAGGCAGCGAACCGCAGGGGATCCGCGACCGACGGCCGGCATACCATTTCACCGCCGAGCAAGCCGAGGTGTTCGACCGGGTTCGCACAGTCGCATACACGGCGATATACGGCCGAGACGGGAGCGATATCCACCACGACAGGGATAGGGGTAGCGGTAGGGACGAAGACGAAGACGACACGAGCGAGTTGGAGGGCCATGTGTTGGATTTTTTCATCGCGTTGTTAGACCACGACATCGGCGACAACGAGTTCCGGAACGCGTTGTATAGCGGATTGGCCGTATTAGGCATCCAGCCGGGGCACGGGTGGCGGAGCGCGTTGGTGTATACGCCCGTGTTGTCGGCGATCGTGACGGTGGCGCGGATGTTGGTGTTGTACAAGGCCAAGCGGGCGCGCGACGAGGAGATCCGGCGCCGACAGCGGTTCGCCGGCGAGAGCAAGGCGAAGGCGCGGGAGCGGGCGCGTAGCCATTTCGACCGGGTCAGGGAGATGGTGCAGAGGTTTATGACGATCGTGGCGTTCGACGGGCAGCCGTCGCCGATGGATTCGATATTGCGGTTACGGGCGTACGGCAAGGCGATCCGGGCGAACACGAACGCGGACGGGGTGGTGGATTGGCACGGGGACGAGTTGTTGATCGGCCACGTGCAGTTCAGTATCACGTCGTTGCGGGCCATGATCCACGGGTTGTTGCACGCGGCGCGGGCGCAGTTGCGGCGGGCCGTGTTGTTGTTGGACGTGGACGAGGACGGCGAGCCGGTAACGACAGCCAAGCAAGGAGCAGGCGAACCGGCAGGGGCGACGGCGTGGCCGGCGATCCAGTGGGACAAGTTGGTCGATAACGCGGCCGAGACGAAGGCCGGGTGGAGTTTCGCCGAGGACCCGCGGAACCGGGAGGCATTCGGGGGCGTAGACGGGAAGCGGTGGTTGGCCGATCGGGTGGTAGGCGAGGCGCGGTTGTTCAGCCAGTTTTTCGAG